AGTGAAAATAAAAGTTTCTGTTCAAAATTTAGAGATAAAAACATAACATTTTCTAATAATCGATTATCTTTAGAAAAGAGCTATTATCTTTTAGAGATTTTAAATATTGGGCATTTTGTCATTAGTATAATGAAACCAAAGGAGATATGTGAGTTCCACATTTAAGCTCCAAAGAGGCTGCGCTAACAAGCTTTTTTTATTATTGTTTGGATCAAAACAATGTGAATATAAATCCTTTAGAGTCGTTTTGGTTTTGTCACTTAAAACATTTTGGAGCCGATCACTTAAATGATTTTCCAATGATATTGTGTGATGTTGAAAAATTTCATTAGCCATCATACTAAAAGAAAATCACAAATGTGATTCTAAATTCAACTAAAGCAAAAGTTCAATCACTTTTTATTGTTTGTTGCCTGCTTTAGTCATATAGCACAAAAAAAACAAAAAAAAATATAGGTTAAGATAGCTGCTATACATTTATACGCTACATGCACTAGTGTATGCTGCTTATCCTTTCTTATTTACACCAATCGTATTACATTCCATGCTATACATATTTCTTTCTATTTGTCCTCTCTTTTATGATTTCATCTAATCGAAGTGATGCGATATTCTAGTATTCGATAATCAATCGATGATTCATTGGTGTTTACTGGTAGACTACTCATCAGCGTCAAGCGTATCTCTATGATCAAGTATTGATAGTTTTTCATTGGTAGAATTCTTTTTTTTTTCAAAAAGATATCACTGTAATACAATCATTGAATGCTTTTTTTCGACGCCGTACAATGAAGAACAAGATAAAGTGACACAAAATATATTATAGAAGACTGTACGATGATAAATACAAAATAGTTTTTTTTGACTAAGAAATATTGTAAAACTGATTATGCTACCGCTAGATTCAAGGACAGATCAATTTTGTAACAAAGACAGTAAAAGAAACGAAGGAACTCACACAATGACCATTTATATATAATTAACAGAACAGAAAAATATTTTCAATTTTATGACAATCGTAACATTTAGTGTACATTATTTGCAAAACAACTGTTGCACTTCTGATATAGTTTACCATCGTTGAGAGATAAACAGTGTGCGTGAACATGTGAATGTGAATCCTCTCGTTATATACACCCATATCAACACTCACTTCAGAAACAATGTATATCTTACAAACTTGCAGACATATCTGTGTAAGACAAGAAGAGAACAAAATGAAGAAAGAAAGCCAAGGATAATAATAAGTAAAAAGAGATAGAGAGATAGCTAATTAAGACCCAGGATGATGATTATATACTATCACCGTTAACATTCACTCTCACATTCACATCTTCATTCAAGAATTCATGCTTGTTTATTCACGGAAAGAACCACCATTGATAGTTTTCGCAAGAACGAATCTGTGAACTGGATGAAACATGCCTAGTAAATTATTCATATAAAATAATAAAATCGATATTTTGAAATGGTGGAATTAAGCTGAATTCTCTTCCTTTTCCTGTAGTCCGGAGAGACCGCCTAATGTGTATGAATGTTGTCCACTGGAATTAATACTAATATTCGTTTTCCCAAACGGAATAGAATGAGTATGTCGCGCTGAGGCTTTAGCGCCACCACCATGATAACTTCCCCAATATACACCGAAACCGAATGATGCCTCGCTGGTTGAACCACCGTGATTATGTCCCGGATCATCATATGTATGTGTATGATCACCAGCGCTTGCCAACCGAAACGCCTCTGTATCATATTGATGTTCTGAAAACTCATCTTCTGTCAATAGATGCTTGGAGTTTCCGCCAGTCTTCACACTGGATTTTAGCAGTATCTTAATACCAAATGAAAAGCGGCCACGAAAGTCAGGCAAAGTAAATGTCTTAACGTGATCTCTGACACCGTGTGAGGTGCCAATCAGAGATGTGCACCGCCCCTAAAAATCGACTAGCGGCGACGGAAAATATGAGTTAAACTTTCAAATAGTGACGGCGGTGCGTAGCGCTCAGTAAGCCTTTTTGCTGAGCAGAACGGCCACACCATGCTTCGTTCTAAGGGCCGTACAGTGCGGTCGCTCCGTCGAACGGCCGTTCGATAACCACCGAGCGGCCGCTCGGGGCTTACTAAAGCTGTTTATTATGATTTGTTTCGTAGGTTTATTGCAATATTTTTTTTAATGAATGCTGTGTAGTCTATTGATCCCGTAAGCTCGTTTCAATGTAATTCAATAAGTCTAGAAATAGATATATGTGATAGGAAAAGTTAGTAAAAAATAACGCAACAGTAGCATAGAAGATAATAGCTTTTATAGAATAATGATAATGATGGAGATTACTGTTTGTAATTTTATCAGATAAGGATGGACACACCATGAATACCATACAGAAAAAAAGATGGTAATCAAACTGCTATATTTGGGAGAAGAAATTATGAAATAAATTTTCCCTGTCGACTTCCATATTTCTTGTTTATTAGAAATGATAATTTTTGTCCGAGAAAATCATATACAAATATTAAAAAAACAGCAAAGGCACCCCAAAATGAAAAATTATAGTGGAAAAAGAAAAAGTTGGAGTTAACAATCTATCTATGTAGTATGTGTAACGAAAGGAGTAATAAAAAAATGTATAAATGGTGTCATAGAATGCCTAATATAATACAAACATATTTTGAGAATCAAAATCCATCCAGCGTAGGATTTTAAAATGATATTTGTATCAAGTATGAGTACGAAGTCAATGCTTCGTTATTTATCATTATCATTTGAGAGGAAAAGGTTAATAATATTACTGTACGATATTAATCGGGTCTTAGGTTCGTCGGTTTCAACTTCAGAAGATATTCCCTCAAAAAATGGTCAAATTAAGATCATGCGGCCACTCGACCGGTTAATGAGGCGAGAACGGTCGCTCCGCACCAATTCCGCTCGCAAAATTCGGAAGCGGTGCGGCAGCACTCATGTAAGTCATACTTCTCATGGCGAGACGGACGGACCGCACGAGCGCTGCACATCTCTGGTGCCAATGATGGAAAATAACTGGGAATATGTTGCTCGAGAGATGTTTGAACCATCACATCATAACCAGTTCGTTGGTACATGCATTCCTGCGAAAAGACTGACTGTTGCTATAGGTAAGACACATTGTGACACCCTTGGATTTGCATCCGATTCGTTGTTTAGAAGAATACATATCAAAGGTATCAGAACGTTATATTTCATTTTCTGCGTTGTCAGTGTATAGTCTGCA